GGTAACCATGTTTTTTTTCAATTTTCTCGCGGGTAATGTCAAAAATTAGATCGGCAACACTGCACATGTCCCTAATTTTTATTATTACTATTGAAAAAAAACGTCGTAGGGCAATCAAATACAACAATTTTCTAAAATATTTGATTGGAATTACCTACACAAGAATGATGGTGAATCATTTTTCAACACAATTTTATAAATAATGAAGTCAAAATTAGAAAAAAATCTTGTATATAAACACGTTACAAAATGCCGTTTTGTGTAAGTCGTTCATGTTGCGGGAACTCGCTCCGCTCGTTTGCAAATATTTACTCGTTACACAAACTAAGGCATATCGTAACTGGTTATATAAATAACTATTAATTGACTTTCTAATATTTTAATTCATTGAACGGTATTTTCCGTAAATAATTAAATCATAAATAATTACCAGGATATAAGTACCAAAACAGTAGGCCTATGTCAAATAAACTTAAAATATTATAACGAACGAAAAGGTAACCCATTTCTTATAAAATTTAGTTATTTATTTTATTTTGGTGTGATCGTAGAAAAAATCTTGGGTGTAATTCGAGCAAAAAGTACTTATAAACTTTTACTTAGGGTCGATTTCACCGTTTTGTTAAACGAAGTTTAAAATACTAAACGAAGATTAAAATGACATTTTTATATTAACGAAAACGAAGTTTAAATTACTAAATGGAGTTTAAAATGACATTTTTACATTAACAATGTCATTTTAATCTTCGTTTAATAATTTAAACTTCGTTTGACATAACGGTGGAATCGGTCCTTAGCTAGTTATATATTAATAAAGTGTTATTGCCCTCATCATACATGAATCGTGCTAACAAACAAAGTCAAACAAACGTCTCATAATTTTTCATCTTTTAATTACCCACCAAAATTAGGTACTACAATACAAATATTTAAGTCCGGCCCAGAACATCTCCCTACTCCTTCCACCCAGTTTTTCGGTTTTGGCAAAATTCGCGCAGCGAGAAATGCTTCCTATGTTACCTCTACCCTTTCTAACCTCTTTGACCTACCTACATCTTACTAATAGCTTTATAACTGACAAACTGACTCATAAACTAGGATTTTTTTAAAAGTATACCATACATACCTAATAAGATCTTTAAGAAACCGAAAAAATCTTTTAATACAGTTTATTCATATAGTTTTTGCTGCACAACTTTGCCCAGACATAGTAAAACACTACTATATAAAAAGTGTCAAAAAATATCTATAATTCTAAAAAAATAACAATAACTACATAATACAAACATCACAAACAAAATAAATTTAAGATACACGCTACTGATTCCGTGCTACTGCAACTTGTTTGTTTTTGTTGATATAAACGACGACAGTGACGAAACTGGCTTGATTGAGAGGTTGGACCCCAAAATGGCGGTGTGCGCGTAGATGTGCGCGTAGCGTTGCCGCCAAGACAAGTTAGCATGTCGATTGTTTATTATGCCGTGGTTGCGCAGTGTATAAACTGGAACATTGAGATCAAAAGTGCCGACGCAGAGTGAGCGATCTGATTCTTTAGCTATAAACTGTGGCATAGGAATCAAAATGGCCGCGCCCTATCCCAGGCAGCACACTGACGTTACAGAGACGTCATTTATTGGTCATGAGTTACGTCATTTTTCACCAAAGGTCTGACGTCAAAATGACGTCCAGCTCACGTCATTATGTCACGGCACAGTGACGTCATTTTGTGACGTTACTGTAACGTCAATTTGTGACGTTACTGTGACGTCAATTTGTACTGTTAGTGTGACGTCAATTTGTGACGTTATTCTGACGTTAATTTATGCCGTTACAGTGACGTCAATTGGTGACGTTACTGTAACGTCAATTTGTAAAGTTGCTGTGACGTCAATTTGTGACGTTACTGTAACGTCAATTTGTAAAGTTGCTGTGACGTCAATTTGTGACGTCAATTTGTAGAATTGCTGTGACGACAAAATTTTGAGAAGGTAATGTGACGTCAATTTGTTAAGTAAATATGACGTCTATTTGTGACGTTACTAATACGGTGGCTCTGTAGGGATTATAGGAAATAATATTACTAATAAATAATAACAGCTTTTATTACAAATTTGTATAAAAAATCATTAAAACTAAACATGACTTCTGAAAAAAATGGGATGCAAATTTCATTTGATGACGGAATTTAAGAACATTGTATATTTTATCAAACGGCACCTGTGCCAAGCACTATCCTGAGCAAAATGGTTAAAAACAAAACAATTTCTATTTAAAAATCACACAAGACATGACAACGATAATTTTGTTTACCCTGAAAAATTTTTCCTTGAAAATAACATTCTAATATTTCTTGAGTACACCGTTGAAGGGAAACATTTTCTTCCCCTTAACATCGCACAAAAAAACATATATCCATACTTAATATAAAAAGCATCAAAAATATGAATCAATTTTTGCTGGTTTGAAGATTTAATTGTATACTCATTGTTGTGATTCATTTTTACAGGTTGTCATAAAAACTACTATGAATATTCTTTAATCGTAGTTTTTTGTCAACCTGTTAAAATTAATCACAACAAAATTTTTAATTTAGCAAAAATTGATTTATATTTTTAATGATTTTTACCTATTAGTCATGGATAGATGTTTTTTGTGCAATGTTTCTCTTTAACGATGTACTCAATAAATATTTAAATATGTTATTTTGTGGAAAAGTTTCAGGGTAAACAATTATCGCTGTTATGTCTTATGTGATTTCTTGAATATAATATATAATAGTTTATCTTATAAGGACGAAAAGTTGAGTTTTTGGGCGACTACGAAAAGTTTGCCAGGCGAGATCGACGTAGTCGAGCCTGGCAACTCGTAGGAGATTGTGTTGTCAAATCGATTTGATTATAGTTAAAAGTATTTAATTCCTTGTAGGGCGGCCAATAAACTCTTCTTTTACGTGGTGTCAACCATTTACGATGAATTAATGCTAGGGTCACCCCCGCATTCATCGGAAAATTGAATGACTAAGTACATGACTAAAATATAAGAATTTGAATGCTCTAAAACAAATAATAAGAGGAATATATCACCTAATAACACTAAAACCCAACGAAAAGTCCGCAAACCTTTGTCGTCCACCTTCCAAATTGAAAGTCATGAAACGAGACGCTGGCACTGAGCACTAATGGCGGCACTACTATGCACGATTCACGATTATAAGGCGAAGGCGGGAGAGATAGCGTGGGTTTTTTTGTTGTTTAGTTTTTCACATTAAAAGTGACCATCTGTCTTTAAAAATGCCACTATAGTGATAAGAAAACATGAAGAAGCTAAACTGGAAAATATTTTAAATTAAATATCAATGTTAATGCTGAACTTCAGATACAGAAACGAAGAACGAAGACCGCCATTTCAATTTCAATGTTAACACTACCGAATCGGCGCAAGTCCGAATCAAAAGTAAACCATAACTCAACTTTTTCTTCTTTTCTCTTCTTTGCTTTCTCTTATAGTTAGCTGGCACCCAATCGGCGATCAGCAAACTTAATAAAAAATATACTATTTTCTCTTAAAGGGTGACAAAAAACTATTTTTTGTCACTCCGGAAAAATAAAATCACCAAGTTTGTTAACACTTTTATTCGAGTTAAAAATTATGACCATACTGTGACGTATATATGACGTAAAATAATGATGTGATACTGACGTTACATTTATGACGTCTTTGAAATGTCATTTTTAGGTGATGTGACGTCAGGGACTAATTATCACCAAAAAATGACATCTCTGTAACGTTAGTGTGCTGCCTGGAATGTTGGGCGTGTCGGACCTCTCTCTTGCATCGTATTCGCTCCGTGCGAAGTCATGGAAAGGGAAGCAAAAGCGATACTAGCGCTAGCTGCGGATAATTCGTGCATTTTAGGGCGATATTTTGTAATTTTGGCATATCAAATACACGTATACATTTTACTTTTTTTCAAAAAAGTAGGTGAAAACAATACAATAAGCAACCGGAGTTGCTGTGTTGGAAATTGTAAAAATACTATCAAAAAAAAACAGTGAAACTTATATAAAAAATTTCAGTAGCAAAGTGGAAATTAAACCAAAGAAATAAATGGATAGGTGTACAATAAGAAGAAAAATTACCTTTATTTTTGTAATAATAACAGTAATGCTGGAAATAGTAGACATCAGAAACTTGAAAGGTTTTAAATAAACAATAAATTATCATTTTACGATGTTCTTTAATATCCCTTTATTCTTAAATGTTCATTTAGCAAGGACTAGATTTCAAAATTTCTGCCTTTGATTATTACACAGCTTATTGTCTGTGATTATTATGTGGCTGGAATGCAATTTTGTGACTTACTGATGGCAAACCAGTTTTAATCATTCATTCTGTTTTCTTTCGAAAAAAATGAAAATATAAATAACGATCCTTTTTTTATACATTTTAACTTCACGCTATTATTAAATGGTATTTTTTTATTTTGACAGAACAGGCTAATTCTTCAATGACAACTTATTAGACTTAGGCAACTTTTCATACATTTTCCAGTAAATACTGTTGCCTGCCTATATTTTATTATTGATTTTTATTGATTATACATAATTTTCTTTAATTTAAGCGTTAAAAATATATAATAATAATAAATTAATGTTTTACTTGTTTTAAAAATCCATATACTTTTATTAAAACTAACATATATACTTTTTAATTACGAATTCTATTAAAAATTGTATTTGTCAGTATACGCAGAAATAGTCCATTAATACCAAAACGAATTGGCGCTGCGGTCGCGCACGGAGCGAATACCAAACCTGGCAATTTATTTGTTTGGAATGCCTAATTCGTAGTTGCCATCCATGTCTTTTTTATACTGATAGTAGTAAATAAGTAGGTACATTTTTATTTTTCTTAAATATAAAGTATATTGTTTTATTAAAAAAAAAATCTTAAAGATAACCTTTAGTATAAAAAAATAATAGCAATGGAAAACTTACCCTAAAATAGTATCATCGTCTGCGATAACAATCCATTGTATATTAGCATTTATCTCAATCTCCTTAGAAATATACTTAATAATGGCAACAGTTTTCATACAATGACCATTTTCTGAATTTGGTACTCCTAAATCTATGGTAGGAATTGACTTATCTAAAAATGATTACTCAATTTAAATAAATGTTATTATCGGTTATTATGTATATTTTATATTTAAAAACATGAGTGAAAATAGAGTACCTTCTTTATCACTAAAAAATTTAATAATCGGAGTATGATTGCCCCAAGTTTTTTTTACAATAGGAACTCTGTCATTATGGAACTTTGTACAAGTTTTAACAGCGAAATATATATTATTTATTGGCACCAAATTATCCTGAAACAAATTTTAGTTTTAACAAAATAAAGAAAATGTAGGGTAATTGAATTATGTCGACATAACGAGTCTTCAACAACACCCTTATCCACAGCGTTCTGGTCAAACAAGAAATTTAATGAAAATGTGTTGTACTCCAACAATTTTTAAATGATGGTGAATAGTCCAATTAAATAACGAAAAAAAGTTCTTTCGAGCTTACATTAATTTGTAATTGGATGAAACAAAGTGGACCTTATGTATTTTGATGTGATCTTTCCGAAAAAAAGCAAAAAAAAGATGTAGCTGTTGTTAATTTTTTTTAAATAAGGAAAAACCGGGTTTTCCGGAATTTTCAATGGTAAAAATGCTAATTATCTGGGCAAGTATTATTCCGATCGTAAAAATAAATGCACCAATCGAAGGAGGAGGAAAAAATAGTTCGGAAATTCATTGCACAGGTAGTTTTAATGGCGAATTTCTCACCGCCAGAAGTGCTTTTACCAAAAAGTTGTTTTTTCGTTTCTTTGATCAGAACCATGGACATGAAATTTGCGATGAATTTGTGGCGAAATTATAAATGTTAGACATATGTGCCCACGAGTGAAGTTGCGTATTTTTTTGTTGGCTCTCAAATAAAATAAGTCCCGCGGCGAAATCTGACATAATTTTTCGGGAATTCGCAGGAAACCAGAGGCGTAGTTTTTTTAAAATTTTTTTCCCATGTGATTTTTTCCGGGTTTTCCGAAAACATCTAACAAAATAAATATATTTGAAAAAACTAACTTCGCCATCGAAAAAAGCACAAAAAAATACACAAAAAGGTATACTTTAAAAATGTTAGGAAATTAATCCTAAGCCTAAGTGTAAGTTCCAACTTGGTAATATGCTTGTGTTTTATTCTCTAACATCTGGTTTTTAGTTATTTACAAAAAAACTTGAAAATCTATGCCGATGAACACTATCAAGTGATTCAATTTGTAATAATATGACAGTTTGAAGTTTAAACTTGTCGGATAGCGAACACCGAGACCATGGCTATTCTTGAAGCGACGTGCGGCTAATTTTGCGGTAATTCTATATTTTGCACGAAACTCAAGAAACGTCTTATAACAAGTCAGTAAAATACAATTTAATAAATTTTAAGCCTAATAAATTTAGGTATGTAAGAAATTTAAAACTGGAAATCGTAAAAAAATCAAAGTACAGAAATGCAGTGTATATGTTATTCGCAATAGCCGAAATCGCTCATTGCCCGAATTTTTCGTCCACAACGCGTTATGGGTATACTAGTTTACCCACGATGCGATTAGAAACATTCTTTCTGGACAATGGGTAAAGTTAATTAACCAGATCGCGTTGTGAGTAAACTATGCTACCCACGACACGAAATAATGGTTCGCGCGCATTTGTTTTGCATTGTAGAGAATTTCATTTGTCCACGTCGCGTTCTGGGTATTGCGATTTACTCAGAACGCGTTGAAGGCACCTGTCAACAGACTATCTGACGCAATCTGACGTTTGTAGTCAAATAATACTCAGTAACTACTAGTAAATTGTCGTGTTTTGTGGTTTTCGCAAATACTTCAAGATGAAAGGTAAATTTGAACAAATATTACGGGAATTAATGTTAGAGAAAAAGGACAGGTCGTTGTTATTATCAGATGAACGTTATTTAGAAATTGTACACGAAACCAAAGAGGCTCTACAAAGAAAACGGAACGGACTTGAATTATCATTAAAACAGTATCGTAGAATAAAACGATATGATTTATTAACAGTTGGTGAAAAAGATAAACTAGTTAACCAAGAATGTTTAGGAAAACAATCAGGTTTAATTTTTTACTGTGCAGCAAGTGAAATGTATGACGTAATACATACAGCACATTTACAAATAGAACATAAAAGAGAAAAGGCAATGGAAAATGAATTAAAAAAGAAATACTGCAATATTACTAGAGAGGTAATTTAAACCTGTATCAATCGTATGCTTTGAAAAAAAAAGCAAAACGTAAAGGATTAGTTGTGAAACCTATAATTATGAGTGAAATGAATTCACGTTCCCAGGTAATTTCTCCACTATATCTCTTTACATTGTCAGTTAACAATTTTTTTATAGGTCGACCTTATCGACATGCAAAGTGAGCCTGATGGAGAATATAAATTTATTCTCAATTACCAAGATCATCTAACTAAATATGTGGTGCTGCGACCACTTAAAACAAAAACAGCAGATGAAGTGTCAGATGTTATTCTTGATATCTTTTGTTTGTTTGGAGCACCAAATATTTTACATAGTGACAATGGAAAAGAATTCTGTAACCAAGTAAGTGTAATGGCTTTGTACAGAGGCTGTGTTTCATCTGAGTAACTTTCAGGTCATTGAAAAGTTAGCAGCAAGGTGGCCCGCTATCAAATTAGTCCACGATAAACCTCGACATTCCCAGAGCCAGGGTTCCATTGAAGGAGCAAATCAAGACGTTCGTGATAGCCTTGTAGCCTGGATGTCTGATAACAAGTGTTAAAACTGGGCAAAAGGACTTCGTATTATTCAGAGTACGAATAATCGCAGTTTCCATACAGGTATAAAGCGAACACCTTATGAAGCCATATTTGGAACTCCACAAAGAAATGGACTATTGGATACGTGCTTAGATACCTCTGTCGTAAATGGGATTGAAACTGAAGAACAACTTGAAGAGCATCTGAAATTAATGAATCTTTCTTTAGAAAAAGCAAATACAGTATCTGAGAAATATAATTCTGAAATTGGTGAATCGGAACTAGAAATCGAAACCGAATTAGAAATTGAAACGGAACTAGATACCGAAACAGAAAATTATAGAAACGACAGAAGATTGGAGAAGGAAAATGCCAGAATGACTAAATGTTTTGTTTGTGATAGTATGTACGTCCCACAAAATGTGTGCATTGAATGCAATAAACCATTTCATACGGAATGTGGTGCTGATTTGGATTTGCTATTATGCAAACTTTGTAGCAATAAAAAAGCAGCTGATACAGAGAGAAGGGGTTGCAAACAGGGGCTTGAAAAACAAGCTGATAAAATGCTTACCCAATCGCAATGGAAATTACCAGTTGTCAATATAGGTGACAATGTTTTAATAAACATACCAGAGGTAGATCGTGGACGTCTAGCTCCTCGAAATATATTAGCAATTATTATGGATAAGACTGATCAAGATTTGTACATTCTTGGCACCAAAAATGGGAAATTAAAACGATTATACAGCCGAAATGAGTTTCAATTATCGCCTTCAGTATTTTTATCACTATCTGAGATCCCTTCAGGCTCTACTGTAAACGTGCGTGAAGAAGCAAAGTTGTCTTCTGGTTCTAAGCAAGGGCTTGTCCGATGTAATTGCCTGAAAGGATGTTAAACGAAGGCATGTAGGTGCGTAAAATTAAATATAAAATGTAATTCAAAATGTCATAAAAGTTATTCTTGTAAAAATAAGTAATATTTGTTTTTAAGCTCCTTTCTTTATTATTTCTAGTTTTTGTGTCGTTTAAATATTCTTGGTTTTCTTTGTGTGTTTTTTTAAATAATTTATGTTGTATGCGTTTAAATAAATATTTTTTTTTATTTATATTCTTTATATTATTTAAAATGCGTTATGAGTAAAACACAATAGCCACAACGCGACGTGGGCAAAAGAAAAGCTCTACAATGCAAAACAAAAGCTCACGAACCATTATTTCGTGTCGTGGGTAACACAGTTTACTCACAACGCGATCTGGTTAATTAACTTTACCCATTGTCCGGAAATAACGTTTCTAATCGCATCGTGGGTAAACTACTATACCCATAACGCGTTGTGGACAAAAAATTCGGGCAATGAGCGATTTCGGCTATTGTGAATAACATATACACGAGTTTTGGATCTCGCAGAGCGCGTGTAATGGGACTTTTGTCGGGAGAATTCTACAACTTAGAAGAAACATACATACTTTAAACTTTGTATACACATTCAGAAGACATAAAATTTGGGTTTGCTCAATTTTCAGACCAACAAACTGAAAATCGTCAATTTTAGGCAACTTTTCTCAAAACCGTGTTTTTTGGTCGTCACTCAATAAACAGTGGTCAAAAAAATAGATAAAATATTTTTGCAGAATTTTCCGTTATGTAATCGTATTCTAGACACAAGAAAGTACTCAAAAAAAAGTTTTGAGCCATTGGGTGCATTTTTGGCAGTTTTGTGCCACTTCAAACTTTCGAAAAAAAATTTAGTTTTTTTTAAGGAAAAAAATTTGTTTAATTGTCTGATATCTTGGTCAATTATAGTCCGATTTTGGTGAAATTCACAAACTTATAAGATTTCACATTTAAGAGTAAGCTCTGAAAGTGGCATTAAAAAAATTCAAATAGTTTGGCCTTTATAGGCAAACAATGAAATTAGGCCCGCGGTACACTTTGCCCTTTCGCCATATGCCCAATTTTAGGATTTCTCTTGCCCCCTTCTGGGAATCAATAGTCACATCCCTTAAGTTCAAAACGCATTTTTGTTTTTTCAAATATTTTAATTTTTACCAAAGTTATGTAGAATTTAGTGTTTGAACATTTAACAAATTCAATTTTTCGACCTTCGCCGCTTTAAAATACTAAACAAATTTCAATCGTCCATACCGCGATAACGGTGCATCGGATCAAAATTTCTCAAGAGATTAAAATTAGCATTTTTTCTAAGCTTTCAAATGTCGTAAACTGCGTTTAAAAAAAAATGATTTATTTCAGCACTTTCGAAAAACAGCTACATTTTGTTTTGCCTTTTTTCGAAAAGATCGCCTCAAAATACATAGAATCCATTTTGTTTCATCTAATTACAATTTAATGTAAGTTCAAAACCCGTAATTTAATTCGATTATGAATCATTTTACGCATTGCACTGTGGTCAACCGACAACAATGTTATTCTAATATGATTTTCAGAGCTCAACTTACCGGGATCATTTTATTGTTTATGCGTCGTCAACGCGAAAATTTAAAAAGTGAGATTATTCCATAATATTTACTCCTCGTACAAATATTATATCTAGCCAAGTTAGTTAAATACTTTGAATAAGCGATAAACTCGTCATACTAAGAAGTTCTACTGGGAAGTCTAACAAACCATTTAGGTATTAATTTAATTAAATAAATCAGTGTTGCAGCGTGAGACAGGTATATGGTTAGTTGTAGTAGTTTATTTTTTTATCATATCTGGTTAATTTCTATAAATTTACCAGAAAATTATCATTAAATTAATATTTTACTTCTACGTTTATTAAACAACATAATTATCAAATATTTTATTTTTCTTTTAATCTTAATGTTAAGTTATAAACCACGAATAACTTTTTTTAAGTAACGGAAAATAACCATCTGCATGCGCAAATACGGTCCAGTTTCGCTAAAAAATTTCTAACTATCAGTGAATACTTGAAAAACACGTTTTTTATAGTTTCTCTCTTAGCGCTAGTAACTCAAATCTCACTCAATTTCATGCTGTCTTTCTCTCAAACAATTCTCAGAAAAGGAACCGTTTGAGTATCCGGCGCATCGCTAACGCACCCCAAGTGACGTATTTCTTATGTCATGAAGCACCTTATTCGCCAGAACAACCTCCCACTATTGTACAAAATATCTGGTGCATCAACTATATCCCAGACACTCGGTTAGGTTAGGTTAGGTTAGGTTAGGTTAGGTTAGGTTAGGTTAGGTTAGGTTAGGTTAGGTTAGGTTAGGTTAGGTTAGGTTAGGTTAGGTTAGGTTAGGTTAGGTTAGGTTCCAGGTTCCAGTAGTTGTCTCTGGTTCCAGTTACTTTCAGTGGCGGCTCGTGGGCACTAGCGGCAGTGGGGCACACACTGGAAAGGAATCCCGGGATTCGTTTTTCCCTTAGAAAAACAAGTTCTCTGCTTAATGAAAATTAAATATTTTTCAAAACAAATTAAATATTACAAAATTGAAGACTAATGCTAGGTACCGCTGCAGTTGTATACTATTTCTTATAGTTGAAGTCCATTCTTCTGGATTTTTTGCTAGCGAAGTGATCCTCCTTTTCAGGGGGGGGGGGAGGGAGGGACTTTATAGGGGGTCGTTTTTATATTTTATGAAATATATCTGTTATTTATGTTTGGAAAAGAAAATTGTTCAAATAAAAGTTACTTATAATATTATCTCTAATTTTTGGTTTATACCAAATTTTGCTGAAATGGTCCGTATTCCAGAAATTTGACAAAATGTGCAAAATTTATTAAGTAAAAATATACTTAAATGGATATTTAAGACAATTCTGGACTAAAGCCTACACTAAAGCTACCTCAAATAACAATAACAATAAGGTTTTACTCCTTTTTATAAACTAAAAATTATTATTAAGCAAAGAGTCTATTATGTTCACAATATATAACTGGTGCCACAATTTTAATGCAATAAAATGATTCCAAATATTTTTTGTTTTTTTCCTTGGAATACATTCATTATTTTTTACATTTTTCACGCGGTTACTGAAGGTGTTGACCCACATATTGGAGAGCGCTGATTTAAAGGATAGTCTTATAAATGAATACTTCATGAATTACTAACCAAAACCCATATTTCACTATTTATATTCGAAACGAGGTATGTTATACTTACACAGGTATGAAATTGGCTCGGAAATGAGGCGCATAGCTCCGGTTTTTCATATGTGCTACATAATGCAGTCTCTTGTTCGAGCATGGGTCCCCTGGCGTCGTTCCACACAAATCTGGCCAACTCGTAACCACTATCAATGTGGAAATTGGACGTTAATGTTTTATCGGTTTCCCATTCATTGGATAACCTATAAATTATTAAATGTTGTAGACATGAATATTATCAATAAGTCAGCAAACCGATGGTTTTTAAGAATTTCCAAATAGACGCAAAATTATAAAATTACACAATCAACAACTTAAAATCTATAAGAAATCATCCTATTATTCAATTAAAAATAAAAAAAATGATTCCTTATTTGCTAACAATGCTGATGGGGCCATTTTATACTTAGATGCAGTGGCGGGTTGTCTGTAAAAGGCCGTAGGCCTACACCCCCAGAATTTATAGAAATATAAAAAAAATATTAATATGGAGAAATGTGACGTTATCTATATTTATGAACTATCCTTAGGTGGTGAAGTAGCGAAAATTTATGTTAAAAATCAGGGTAAAGAAATTTTATTTGCAAATTGAGAGAAGCAGAGGGTGAACTAAATAGCAGACAGAAGAGCTGTGCTGAGGAGCAAAGACAGTAACAGTAAAAGCATATAATAAGAAAGGTGAATCAGATAACAGAAAGGAGAATTGATCAGGTCCAGAACAAAAGAGAACAGCAGTGAGCAGAGGAGCAAAGAAGAAAAAACAAATTAGAAATTAATTTTTTTACTTTAATTTGGTTTTTATTTTTGTTTCTGTAAATTTTTAGAGCGGAACCACCCATTTTAAGAGTCTCTGCTAAACATTTTTTTTTTTTTTGAATACTGGGTGTTTTCATATCAAGTGTCACCAGCCATTATGGGGAATTTTTGGATTGGAATTTGGAAAATTGATAGGAAAATTTTGAATTTAAATTTGGGTAAGATTTTTTATGATTTATTTTATTTAATTGTTGACTTCGGTCTATAAATTAGATGCTTGGTAGCAGATCAAAGTAGTGGGTGCAAGATTTGAGTATAAAATTATAAAAGGGATAGAAAAGGATACAATCAAATAGATTTAAGAGGGGGAAAGAAGGTTGGGTTGGAGGAGAAACAATCTGAAGAAGTTGGAAAGGGGGATATGGATGAACAAAATGTAAATAATGCTGTTAGTGAAGAAAAGGAAGCAAAACAATAATTGGAGAAAAATATGGACATGAGACAATAATGATGATGCTGCAAGAAATGAAGAAAAATAGACAACAAATAAGGAAGAAATATAGAAAAGGAAGAAATGAAAACGCTAATAAATAAAATGAATGAAAATAGGAGAAAGAATAAAGAAGAGAGAAAATAAGGAAGGTAAGAAGATAGAGAAGAATAAACTATAAAGAAAATGGAGGAAATGGAGAAAAACAAAATAAGATATAAAAACCGAAATACAGAAGGTAGAAAAGAAATTGGAGGAGTTAGTAAAATAAATAAACAGTGAAGAAACAAAGAAAATGAATGAAGACAAATTTAAATCAGAAGAAGATAAAGAAAAGAAAAATAAAAGTATACAAATAAATGAAGAAATAAATATACAAGAAAAAGATATAAAGATAAAAATAGAAGACAAAAATAGCAAGTGAAGAAAAAGATGTTAGTGAGGAAAGACAGATTAAAACTCCGGAAAAAGAAATAAATACATCATATTGATAGGCAAAATAAAAGTAAAATATAAATTGAAGAATCATAAAAGAGGTCGACAATGAAAATAATGTAAATTAGGAAACACATCAAAGAGAAAACTAAAGGGCAAAATATTAAAAATAAAATAAATGGAAATAAAAATCAGTAACAAGATAGAGAAAACCAGGAAACAAAATGAAGGAAGGAAAACGAAATATAAAAGTCTGAAAAATAAAGTTAGTGTTAAACAGAAGGTTGCACATATAAGGCAAATGAAAACGAAAGTAAAATATAGGGAAGAATTGGAGAAGATAATAAAGAATAGAAGATTGAGAGAAAAGAAAAGAGTGAGGATGAAGGTGAAAGAAAAATAGTAAAGTTTAGATGGGGGACGGAAATTTGTAATTTTAAAACAAGCTCAGAATGCGAAAATTGAATAGATAAAGTGAATAAAGTAGAAATAGGTCAACAGTTAGTGTGAGTATACGGGACGATGTTCTACGGGATAAACCGATATATCGATACCAGTTTGCCTACCAATCTGGAAAGTTTTGCGATGCAGCCATACATAGGCTAGCTCAACTGGCTAAACAAGCATTGGAAAGCAAAGAAATAGCACTAGGAGTCTTCCTATATATATAAGGAGCCTTTGATTTGACTTTATACAATTCAATACTGGTATCTATCCACAAGCGTAGAGTAGCTCACTGCATTACGAAGTGGGTTGAATTCATGCTTAATCATAAAACTATTACCAGTAATAAACAAGGGATGTGCACGCACAGGGAGGAGTGTTATCTCCTCTTATGTGGACCTTGGTGGTTGATGAGCTCTTATGGAAGTTAGAGAGAGAAAACTTATACACGCAAGCATTTGCAGACGACATAAGCATCGTAGTAAACGGTAAATATTGTCGAAAGATGGTGCCTAAAAGAGGGATTGTCCACAAACCCGACAAAAACCTCTGTTGTTGCATTCACAATAAAAAAGAACTTTTAAGGAATAAAGGAGCTTTATATGTGAGGACAACATCTAAAAATGGCAAAAGAGGTTAAATATCTTGGAATTACTCTTGAGATGACAAGCCAAGCTTCTGCAGCCATATAGAAAAAACAACAGAAAAAGCTGTAGACGGATGGTAGGGAACATATGGGGGCTTAAACCAAGTATGATGCACTGACTTTACACTATGGTTGTAGTTAGGGTTGCCAGATTTCCGAAAGTAAAAGCGTGACAACCGTGCATTAGGTTCAAATACCAAGCATTTTTATATAATCAGGTCCATTTTTTGTGAACATTTCTTAAAAAAAAGAGGTCCTCAGCTTATTTTTTGTAAAAACGAGGGTCTTTTACCCGGATATTTGTCTATTTTTGTATAAATCCGGTTCCTCTACGGCTTTTAAATTAAAAAGCGTGGCATTTGCATAAAAAGAGTGGCATTTTTGTCAAAAGCGTGGCATTTTTGTACTGTGACGTTGCGAGTACAAGCAAGTCAAAAACCGTAGAGAAGCATGACGTCTGGCAACCGTAGTTGTACTACCTGTTATAACTTACCCATCAATCATATGGTGGCACAAGACTAAAAGCATAACAGCTAACAGAAAATTAGACAAGGTGCAAAGACTAGCCTGTCTAATAATAACAGGGGCATTTAGAACTACGCCCACAGCAGCAATGGAGCTACTGCTAGGTCTTCCTCCATTACATCTTGTGGTGGAAAAAGAGGCTATGGCGGCGGCATACAGACTGTTTACTAATGGATTTGGATGGGAACTTTCGAGAAAAGGACACTACAAAATGATATTAGAGAAATTAAAACAAAATCCGGTATTAAAAATGCCATCAGATAGAACGCCCATTATTCACGACTTCAGAAACCTTTCTATATTCAAATAACAGAAAGGGCCAAAAGCCGGGAAAATAGGGAAAACCAAAACGAATCAACCTGGTATGCAGACGGTTCGAACATGAAAAACAATACAGGAGCTAGGATCTACCATGTGAACTCAGGGAGGACTATTAATGAGAACCTGGGGTCACTGACAACAGTCTTCCAGGCTGAAGTAACAGTAATAAATGCCCGCACCAAAGTCATGCTAAATGACTCTTTTAGAGATAAGAGGGTCTTTATCATGACAGATAGTCAGACTGAAAAGGGTAGAAGTACAATCTAAATCAATACTTGATTTCCAACAGTCCCTCCAGGCCCTGACAGAACATAGCAAGGTCAGCCTTGAGTGGGTGCCGGGTCATTAGGGAGTGTTTGGAAATGAGAAAGCAGATCTTCTAGTAAGGAAGGGAGCGGAAAAAACTCTAATTAATTTTTAAATTGCTGTCATCGGCATCGACTACTAAGGTCATTAGCCTCGTGTTCTGTGTAAGCTTTGTTACTGTTTCCCAGCGCCACTTTAGGAACAGCACTGTTAATTGGAACCCAACAGTGAATGGTCGAGTGGGGAATCTTACCAAGGCATCAGAATTAATTTTAAATAATTAAATTAACATAAAAAAATCCCGGCCAACGGTGGGATTCGAACCTGGGACCCTTGGATCCACAGACAGAGACTCTATCACTGAGCCATCCACCCCTCACCAACATGTTAAATGGGTGTTAAAGGAACAAATAAATAGAGAACACCACAGGCTTTGGTTGGAACTTACTGGACTTAGACAGTCCAAAAGATTCATAGAGAAGCCATCCACGAGCAGACAAAATCAACTACTAAACCTTAGCAGAAGCGAACTCAAAGCCGTACTAGGACTCCTTACGGGGCACTGCGGCCTTAAAAGACATCTGTATTTTCGGGATACCTGATAACTCTCTATGTAGAATATGTGAAGAGGAGGACAAAACTGCTATTCACATACTATGTCACTGTCGGAACCTTAAATGGGAACGGGAATGGCATTTCGGGGTACAATATCCGGAACCTGAAGAAATCGCGACATATTCTTGAATTCATCAATAAAATCAATCTGATGGGATAGAAACTGTGAGGAGTATAATAAGCTTAGATCTTCAGTACAAGTAGGCTTTGAAACACGCCCTAATTCAGATAGATAGAAGTGTGAGTAAGTGTGAGTAATTGTAAGAGTGGACATAGTGTGTGAAGTGGAAATGAAGGCAATATCGATATTAGTTATGAAAATATGATAAAAAACATATTTACAATTTTATTTAAAAAAGCAAAGATTTGTAGGTACTTAAGAAGAGTAAGTAAGTAATTTAGAGAAGAAATATTTGTTAGAAACGTAGCAGTATAAAGGAAATGAATAGTTTAATGGAGTAAAATGAAGGAGAATATATGTTTTGTATATGATTGATTCGTATAATAATAAGTTAATGCGGTACATGAATTAATGCGGTATAATAAATAATGTGGTACCGTAAAGTGGGGTTACCTTGTACAATATTTTTGTTTTTTTTTTTAATATCCACGGTTCTGTTGGGAATTATAAAGCCCGCTTTAACTATATGAAAATTTAATAATTTGGCTACATAGTTGTGTAATTAGAAAGCATAAAAAAATAGAACCACATTTTTTAAAAGTTTAAAAAGTTGGCAAAGTTACCCCGACTTTGGAGTTACTTTTCCGACTGGCATTTTTGCACGTTTTTAAGCGTGTAGGCCAAGTTAACAGTCTCGAAGGGTTACTTTACCCTACTTTAATGTGTTTAGAAAAGTGCTTTTGTTTACTGTACTGTCTCCTGGATTTTTGGTTTTGTAGGTTGTTATTATACGGCGCCAAACTACCTTCAAGGGCTTAAAGAAGCTCACATCCAAAGGTTGTGTCAAATGTGTTGAATTTGAGGGTAGAAAGATAAATCTTATATTGTTTCTTTGGCACTCTCTAATGATTGTTATGTTTAAATGTCTCGATAAATTATCTCCGATTAAAAGATTCGGCCCAAAATTTTTTTTGTCCCACGGTATAAACATTTTTGTAAACCAGTCTTCAAAACCACCCAGATTTGGTTCTATTATAACGAGTTCCAGGGGGTCCCCCGATACAACAGGAATCAAATAATCTCTCCGCCTTATACACAACATATGGGGCAAACAAAGTTCCTTCTGCAGCGGCAGCAAACATGACGGATATTAGGACTTTGTTGAGTTCATAATGCGTTCAGGGTATTTAATCCCTTTTCTAAAAATACATTTTGACGATCCAGGATCGTCTATCAGATTGGTCTCGCCGTAGTTAATGATGGAACCAGGTGGAATTCCTGCCACATTTCTTTCTAAATTATCAAAGTAATTGTTCATTTCCTCATCTGTTTTCTTAGTTCTTGCTTTTTTAATATTTTCGCACTGTCTGTTGGATAATTTATGTTTGTGTCTATGAATAAAATTCTTGCACCAGTCTACACCTGGTAATTGTCTTTGAACTTCTTTAGGCGGACACCTTCTTTGTCTAAATGACTCTTTAACACTACTCGCAATTCTCATGGTTAGGGGGCAGCCATATTCGAAGCTGGCTATTATAACGTCGACAATGGACCGTTCAATCTACGGGGTAATTTGCTGAGGTGCTTTGGTATATCCCATTTGATTACTTTTAATCAGTAGAACAGCTCTTCGGTATAATATTTATAACGCCGTGTACCCACTTGTCTTTTATGCGTTCGAACCATTTTATGTAAAAAAAACATACAATGTGGGGTAACTTTGCCAACCGCAAGAATTATTGGAAATTTAGCACCTGGAAAACTGTTAATATCAGAAATAGAACTCACACATGCACGAAATAGGTGATGTTAAAACCAGAATTCAAGATTCATTAGTTTTTATTACACAATCCTTATTAGCATAGCAACATGATTTTACGAGGTCAAAATAAAATTTTTACTCATGTGATTTACAAATATGGCGCATCGCTTCACCGAGCTCGGGACTCGTACTTCCTAAAACCTGTTGATTGCGTAGTATTTTGCCGCCAACTGCATTAGAGCAGCGTTGCCAGATTTACAGAAAATATTTTTTTTTTAAGCAAAGTTGCCCAGGCTGGCAAAGTAACTCCACTTTACGGTATATGAATGAATAATGCGGTATATTGATATAGAATAATATTTAAAATAATATAATGTTTAATGAGAAAATGAAGATAAGAAATGTGTAAAATGGGAACAAGATTTTAAAGAAGAAATGTAAAGGATAATTTGAGATGGAAAAGAAAGTTAAATGTACATAATATGCACAAAAAATAAATACATTAGAAAGATTATAAATTAAGAAGATATTGTAAGTACTTATATAGAAAATGAGAAAATAAGGGGATATCTTAAAAATATAATTGGAATAAATGTGAGTAAGAGTGTGAGTAAGAGTGTGAGTAAGAGTGTGAGTAAGAGTGTGAGTACGAGTGTGAGATGGTAGTTATATGCTAGATAAAATAGTTATCATAGTTTTAATAGACAGTTACAATAGTTATAAATAGTTACGAAATGTTATAAGTTATAGTATTAGTTAGTTTATTGAATGAATAAGAAAATCAGCACTTAAAGAAGGACAATATAAATAGCCAAGGGCATTACGATTTTTTTTTTTGAAAATTTTATTAAGAATTAAATTAGTTTCCTATAATTTATTTTATACACCAGCGATTTATGCAAAATGATAGAGTCCGAAGCCAACTTTTATGTAGACGACGGAAATATCTACTGCAAGACATTGGAAAGCTTTTACAAAATATAACAAGACTTGAATAAAACAGCAATGGCTACTACCCCTCAACATAAATAAGTGTACAGTATTGCACATTGGCCCAAATAATTCCCACACACAGTACACCATAGGTACAAACGCAATAACTTCAGTCGAAACACAAAAGGATCTAGATGTAATCATATCTAGAGATTTAATATAAATGGGAAAATCACATTGATAATATTGTAAAGAAAGTAAACAGTCTCATTTTTCTTATTAAAAGAGCTTTTAAAAACCATTCCGAAGATATGATCCTCAAACTGTACACAGACCGTTTGGGACCCATACTTTGTTAAAGACATTGAACTGCTGGAAAGAGTACAAAGGAGAATCACCAAAATACCACCAACCCTACAAAATAATGTGTATTGTGAACAGCTAACCAAACTACAACTTTCAAGTTTAAAGGATAGAAGAACTAGAGGAGACTCAATAGAAACTTACAAGGGGGCCAACGGATATTACATGTGTGATAACATCTTCCAGGCCATCGCATCAAAACCCTTTAGAGGTCATTCAAAGAAATTAGATAAAAGTATAATGAATTGCAAAGAAAAATTTCATTACAAACAGAACTATTTATATTTATGAAATGGTCTCCAGGAATATACGGTCTCAGTCTAGAACATAAACCAGTTTAAGGCGAGAAAAAGGAACTCGAAGAAGGGAGAAATAATTTTATTTATTATGGTTTATAAAGTATATTAAATTTTAACTGTCATGTAGTAATTTAGGATAATTTTGTCACTTACTAAAAGAGCAGCTTCATCGAATATGTCGCTTGCCTGTTCTTAACAATACTAATAATAGTAAATGTAGTAATAAAATAAAAAATTGGGGTGTTCCATTTAAAACAAATATGGTGATAACGTCATCACCCTTTCCCTTTGTATTAGATTATTATAAAAAAAATTAAAATAAAAAATCGACTTGTTTCGGCAACTTTAAATAGTACTGTTTTTTAGCTAATAATGAATATATGCATTACTTTATGGTCTATATGTTAGTATGAAGAAGTGTTACAAAAATGTGTACTTAAAATTATTTGAAAAACCATTAAAAAAATACCATATCCATCTATCCGATAGCGATGTTTATATTTTAAAATAAATCTGTTGGCGCATTTTATAATGTTCTTTATTGAAAAATATTAATCAACGTGAGTATTGTAGCATTCATGCAACATTAAATACGTTTACTTACTTGATTAGTAATGGAATACTAATAGCAAATCCTGAAGCTAAATTTGGATATTTAAAGAAGTTTGGATTGTCGTAAAAAGCAAAATGATGTATAATAGTCGCTGCTTCATCAGACAAAGCGTTGCCAAACCAAATTTCCTAAAAGAAAAAAAAATAAGCATGTATATAAAGATTTTTAATTTCTTACTCTTGTGTATTTAGATAGACACAAATAAACACATAAATGTCAGTTTCACACTGAAGACCTAAATTAATATTGTTACTACTGTACCTGAGTCTGATCATATTTTTCAAAAACTTCTAATAGTAATTTCAGTCTTAGGGAAGTATAATCCTGTACAAAAAATACCCAGGAACTATTATGTTGATGTAAATATACCAAATATGAAAACAGAGGTAAAAAAGTCCAATCGGCTTTATCAGGAAAGTCCTTGTTGGAAATGTGAATCACAGGAGTTTTCTAAAAAAAAAGTTTTTGTTTTAAGAGTATATATGTTACGGGCAATGTAAATAACTGGGCAGTATTTATAATGCCCGGGCAATTTAAAAAGTGCCCGAAGGGATAAAAGGATAAATTATATAGAAAAAATCACATTGCCCAGGCATTATGAATAATGCTGGAAGTCGAGTGGGCAATTTAAGAATATTTTTATTTATATTTGTCTACATACAAAAATAAGAGGATTTATTACATTAAAAACAAATTTTTAAGTAACAAACTGAAAAAAGATATTAGGTACCGTATGTGCATAAATACATTATACATACAAAATGTCAAATTCTAGAGCTTCTATTTATTAGAACAGCTTCCACTTTGGTGACATTTCGAGTTACAAAGCTTGCACAGCCGCATCGACTATAGCCTTGGCCCCCAGTCTTGGATGACATTCTTGAACATTCCCTTAGTGAAATTTCTGACGGTGGAATCTCTTCGGCATTAATAAATTTTTCATTACATATTGTAAATTGGTTCCTAGCATAAAGTTGATTTATGATTCCATGTTTCGTGCCTAATTTATAAAGATTATAATCTGTTATTTCGAGGACAATTGCCAAAATATTTCTTCCATCGGGGCGACCTCTGTCGACATCTGGCACTCGAACTTTAACTGTGTCACCCTTTTTAGAGGCAGGATATTTTGAATTGGAAGTTTGAAGCATTTTTTCAGCTTGTTTTTTTAGATTGCTTGCTGAAATCTCCCTAATTTTTATTATGTCGGCTTTTCTTTTTTTCACATTGGGATCTTCTGAGAAATCTTCATAACCTTCATACGCGCGTTTCTCATGACCGGGAACTTAAATTTCAGATGCCCCTTAGACATTTACTTCTCTTTTGTTATTACTGACATAAGAGCTTGGTTCAGATAACGAAGTTGATGGTTGAACATAACTATCAAAAGAAGATATTGCCCCCTCGTATTGTTGACTTGGACCTACTTCCGCTAAAGAATTTGACGCTGGTTTATTTTGCAGTGCACCTTCTTCTGCAGACTCTAAATTGTTTTGAACTTTTACTCTTGCTTCCAAGTCCTCTTCAGAATTTATATTAGGCAGAACGTCCTCAGGCAAAAAACTTTTTAGACCAACTTTTAACTTTGTTCCAAACAGGAGTACAGTTTATGCCACTATGATGAGCTCTGTTTTTCATAAGTTCAACAAAACGTAAGCCTTCTGACCATTTCTTGCCGTTATTGTCTTCTAGCCACGAACAAAGCATATTTTCCACGTTCTGATTCGCACGTTCGACGGAGCCCTGACTTTGAAGAGTGTCTGGGCTTCCCATGTACCATCTTTAATTCGGGCCACATGGTACATAGTTCGTTAATAGTACTATTGGCAAATTCTCTGCCATTATTACTCTGCAAAATAGTGGGCGCACCAAAAATGGTGAAAATATCCAAAAGCACATAAGCTACTTCTTCTGCTCTTTTGCTTTTAAGAGGTCGAAGTTGAACAAATTTAGTTAAATGATCTTGGTATACAAGTATGAATTTATATTGATCATCAGCTTGCGACTGCATGTCGATTAAATCGACTTGACATCTTGAGTTCATGTTTTTACTTAGTATCAGCCTAACAACTAAACCTTTTCTTGGTACACTGTGTTTTTTTTTCGCAGGTCATACATAAATTTAGATAGATTACAATCATTTCCCTTGTGATGTTTTTATACTTTAAATTGATCTCTTTTTCCATGCGGTTTCGACCACCGTGCCCAATAGAAATATGTGCATCATGTTAATGTTGAAATAACTCTTCCCGATGTACGTAAAACCTAATCTCCTCTTTACCTTCATCTACAGGAACTATCAGCTTTTCCTTCTTTCCAATAGTCATTACGTCAAACCTGCGTAAACGCTGATAATCCTCGGGTTTTTTATTTACCACTTTGCTTTTAGATGTTTTAACCTTTTCTATTAATTCCAAGTATTAAGGTTTTGTGAGAATTTGTGTATTCTGACCTTTTGATGAACACAATTTATTCAGCCGTTCGTCGAAACGATTTTTCATCTCACTTACATCAGTTAATAATAACTGTTTCTGAATTTTATTTTATAGAAAAATCACTAACACTTAAAACAAAACGATAAAGTCACTTTAAGGCAAAATTCATTAAATATTCGTGGCACAATTATTAACAGCCCAGCAAAGAACTGAAAACAATCGAGAATGAGAACTCATTAAAGCGACAAGCCATCAAAAATGGATGCTGATTGGCCAGTGAGAATCACACTATACGCACGTTGCCAAATTGCTTAAAATTAATCAAAGTGCACAGAAAATAATAGTAGTATTTATAGTGACCGGGCAGTGTAATAAATTATTATAGACAAATACAAAATTATTAAATGGCCCGACTGTATTGGGCACTTTTTAAATTGCCCGGCCATTATGAATAATGCCTGGAATAATCAAATTGTCCGTAACATATACATTAGATTATACCACGAAATAAACTCCTGGACAAAATTAACGCACCACTTATATTTTGCTCGATAATCTTTATTTATTGATAACTTACTGTACGACAAGTAGGCCATGGACCTTGTTTGACAGTGACAGTTGTTTTTGAAGCGTAATACCTTGTTTTGACAGTAATTCGTATTAAACCTCGTTTTAGACTAAAACTGTTAACATTTTCTTAAAAAGTGCTGATTAAAGCAAAGTTTCTGTTAGAATAAAGCTGTTGATTGTAATTGTTCATTTGGGAGAATATCAAGTAAAAAAAATGAACCGTCAAAGAAATCTGTCACTGGAGGAGGCAGTGCGAGCATCGACTCTCCTGAATGAAGGATATTCAATGCGAGATGTTGCTGATTTGTTAGGAAGACATCATTCCAGCATCAGTCGCATAGTGAGGCGACATAATGAAACGGGTTCGTACCATCGAAGACCAGGACAAGGGCGAAAACGTTGCAATAATCAAATTGATGATCGTTTTTTGAGACAACGTGCTCTTAGAGACAGGAGCGTAACCAGCAATCTGCTTAAAAATTAATTAGCAGATGTTCGAAATATCGCTATATCATCTCAAACGGTTAGACATGAAGCAGGGTTAAGCAACAGAAGACCAGCCAAAAAACCCTTGCTTCCCAGAGAACACAAAGTTCAGAGATTACATTTTGCAAGACTACATCAGCATTGGACCATCAATGATTGGAAACGGGTTCTGTTCTCAAAAAGAGGATTCGAAGTCATAGACCCCCTGTTTTTAATCACAACCAACTCATAGAGGTCGCTATTGAAGAATGGGATAATATACCGTAAGCTTTTGTTGAACATTTGATATCAAGCATGCCGCGACGCATGAATGCAGTGATAAGAAGTAGAGGAGGGCCTACGCGGTATTAGGGTTGACCCAGATGCATTTATTCTCTTTTACTGATTTTTTTTTTAATTTGGTGTTATGCTAGCTTATTTATGCATTTCCAGCAAAAACAAATTTTTTAAGGTCATGTAAAGGTCATATTCGACTAATTTTTAGGTGTTCATCATTATTTCAATGTAACTTAGTTTTATGTTGTGTTTTTATTGTAAATATTTAGATTAATTAAAGTGGTGCGTTAATTTTGTCCAGGAGTTCAATAAAATTTAATAAGGTAGCTAAATTTTTATTATAAGGTACAAAGGTGCATGTTATTAGGCATTTTTAAAGGTTAAAAAACTTTGATGCTTAGTATACAAACTTTTTAAATAGAATTTAAAAATATAAACTATATTTGATACCGGTCCTGATATTCAGTTTATTATTATAGACATTTATTTAATAATATTAATAAATTTATGAAATAGATAATCCTAATATACATTCAATTTTTAAATGATGGTGAACATCTATTACAATATGTTAACCTAGGAATCCTGAGAAATAAAAATGAGACGCTTAATTATATTTTTTGTACGTAAATAAAATAAAGAGTGAAACTTGTTTTACGACCTTTCGATGACAAGGAGGGGGGTCATAGTGAAACACTAATTGGGGATGCGCAAATTTGTTAAAACATCGATGTTAACATCAAATGATACATCGAATACATACTATCGATACTGTAAAAAAATCGGAAAAAATATCGATTTTTTCGAAACATCAATGTTTTTATAAACAAGTCAGTATCTTATTTTTATTTACTATTATTAGGGCCCATTCCACCGTTATATTTAAACAATCTCTTTTCGTTTATTAACTTTATAGACTACATCCATGTACAATTGTAATTTTAATGAAAAAATGTAATTTTAAACTTCTCTTAGGGCCGATTCCACCGTTGTGTTAAATAAAGCTTGAATTACTAAACGAAGATTAAAATCACACTGTTAATATAAAAATGTCCTTTTAATCTTTGTTAAGTAATGTAAACTTCCTTTAACACAAGGTGAAATCGGCCCTTAGGGTTTAATTTACTAAATGAAGATTAAAATTAGTGGTGCACAGAAGACGAGACGAGATGAGATTTTGCAAATCTCGTTCTCGATCTCGTAAAATCTCGAACACCGAATCTCGATCTCGACTTTAAAAGAATCTCGACTGGGCAATCTCCAATCTTGCCGAGATCAGTAAAAGATAATATTATTCTTAGAAAATAAAAACTATCCTTTTAAAATAGATACGTTAGAATATCCATTAACATATTCATTTTTTTAAATAATTTATATTAAAAATATTATAATAACTTTGATGAGGTAAACGAAAAATTGAGGCATATAAGAGACCAGGGTCGGCCGATCCGGGCGGCCGCCCGGAGCGCTATGATCTAGGGGCGCCAAAATCATGGAAAATGAAAATAAACTGATAAAAAAATTAAGTTACAGGCTTTTATAAAATGCACTAAAAAGTAAAGAATATCAATAAATTATTTTTCATAATATTGCATTGTCATCGGACCCTTGTAATAAGTATACCAAATTTCATTGAAATCGATTCACGGGAATTTTCTCAAAAACGCGTTGCAAGATTTGACT